ACTTTTTCATGATATTCTAATTTTATGACCAGCACCTGTACAAGAAAGTATTGAGATGAACTTTTGTTATTGACCAAATACTTATTTTCCACCATTATTTGCAAAAAAATTCTTTAAAAATCAGACAAAATGATTTTCTCAAATTTTTTTTCACATTTTGTCTCTCATAGTTGAGGTCTACCTATGATGTCAATTACAGGCCTCTCTCATCTTTTTAAGTGGGAGAACTTGCACAATTGGTGACTGACTAAATACTTATTTTCCCCACTGTAGTATGCTTTTGTAAGATTACAAGTGCAAAATACAGTTAATACTCTAAATGACTGGTTCCCAAACTTTTTGTCTTCTGACCCACAAAATATTCATGGCAAAAACTTGTGACCGCAAATACTACTGGTCTGAGTACACGAACTTTGTTAATAACCCTAAAAACACAGGTTTTTGACAATCTAAACAGCTTGTACACACATATAAATACTTATTTTTACTTATTTTGTGTTTTTGTAATAGTTATAGGGAAAATATATCAGCAATTATTTTATTACCCTTTAAATTGATTTCTGGAGATTATCCAAGGTGCTTCATGACCCATAATTGGGTCCCAAGCCCAACTTTGGGAACCAAAGTGCACTGGTTCCCAAACTTTTGACCCACAAAATAGCAGCAGAGACCTGTGCCCCCAATTATTTTTGTATGATAAACATTTGTATCAGGTCAACAAAACACGGGCATAGTAACAATTTTTATACCACATTTATCCATTTTAAATACACTAACCTCACTCATTTGTAACAACTAAGGCAAAAACGTAATTAATTCAGAAAATCTTTTCAGGACCCCTCTTTGAAGTTTTGGGTCCCGACCCCAACTTTGGGAAACACTGCTCTAAATGCTTGGTTGTAGTTATTTCAACCTTATCTGTATTTTTAAAGCAGTATGTTTTAATAGTATTATTATTAAAACATAATACGATGTTTTAATATTTTTATTAAAATACAATACTATAGAATATAATCTAGTATAGTTGGAATACCTTTAATCAAACTGCCAGTTAAGTAAGACATGCAACGAGACTTGAGACTTGACTTGGACTTGTCAGAAAAGACCTGCGCACGTCTCTGCTAGCTACAGTTGCTTTACCGTATGTTTCAGCAGGTTTCGGCTGTTTTTCAACAGGTTTCAGCACATGTTGTTGAGCTGCTGCAGGGTGTTGTTTTGTCAGATATTTATTTGTGTTCTGACTGAAGACATGGAAGCTCTGGTTCTGTTTGGTTCTGAACAGCTGCTGTTCCGTCCTGACGCCACCAGAGGGCACTGTCCTGTTAGAAATCTGCTCCAACAGGTAAAATACAGACCTCGTGGTCCTGAGGTGGGTCCAGAACCAGACTCTGAAATGGTCCTTAGGTGGGCCCAGAACCAGACCCTGAAGTGGTCCTGAGGTGGGTCCAGAACCAGACCCTGAAGTGGTCCTGAGCTGGGTCAGAAGAGTTTTTAATAGGACCCTGAGGACTGAAACTGAACAAAAGTTGTTTTTTAAAACAGTTTCAGTTTAAAAAAAAAGACTTAAGTATTAAAGGTGTGTAATAATATAATCCTGTGTGTTAGTAAAATATCTCCTGAACCACAAGATGGTTTTGAAATGGATTTGCTGAGAGTCATCCTCAGGGTTTGAGCCAAACGTGACGTCATCAAATTAAGATCTTTGGACTTTATTAGGTTTTAATGGTTCAGGTTTAGGTTAAGGTTCTGGTCCAGGTTCAGGTTCTGGTGTACATGCTCACCCGCCCCCTCACACTGATTGACGGGCAGAGTCCGGCTAGATCCACGCAGATCAGTCAGGGGTTCTGACGGGTCCAAAGTGGTCTTGGATCGGGTTTCAGGTCCATCTGGGACCCCGGACTCTCCCGGTCCGTCCCTGCCTGCAGTGAGGAGGTTCTGAGATGGAATGCTTCCCGCTCTGTCTGCAGACAGAAGCTCCATCAGCTCAAAGGAATGCAGAAAATCTGTAAAAGTTTCCGACTCCGTGTCTGAGTGGGTTCTCAGGTTCAGGTTCTGGGTCGGCCCCCCTCCTCCTCCCCCCCGTTAAGTAGCACATCGTGTGGAGATTCTTCCCACTTGGAAACAGGCTCACAGACCCAGAACTCCCCGAGTCCTGGACCGGACCACCTCAGTCTCCTTCCCTCAGACTCGGAGGATCCATCTTCTCCTGGTTTCGAGCCGAACCGAGCCGGTTCCGACAGTTTCCTTCAAAGGTCAGTGTGAGCTTTCGTCAGTCCGGATCAGAACTTTCTGATGTTTCTGGATCTTTAGTTTCGTCTTTGCTCAGTGTTCCAGGCTGACTCTCTGGCACCGGTGCGTAATTACGCACGGAGCTGTTTGGAGACGGTTAGTTTGCTTCAGAGGAAAAAAAAAAGATTGTAGCTCTTCATCAGAACAAAGTCAGAGCTCAGATTTCAAAAACAAAGTTAATTAATTGATTAGTTAATTTATTTAAAATAGAAAACCTGTTGGAATGACTTCGTGTTTGAAGGGTTGAGATTGTTTTTGTTTTGACGATCACCTGACCTCTGACCTCTCCATCACAGCTTTGATGAAGAGGAGCTGAAGATGAAGACTAGGCTGTCTCTGGCGGCGGCGCTCCTGGCGCTGCTGCTGACCTCCTCTCAGGCCCAGGAACAAGGTAAAGTTGCTTCTCCTCCTCCTCCTCTCCTCCTCTCCTCCTCCTCCTCCTTCATCTGCAGCTCCTGTCTCTTCTTCTCTAAATGTAAAAGTGTTTGAATAAAAGAATGTGAAAGAAAGCTGTTGTTGTGAGGTGATTTATCATCTGAAGCTTTTCTCTCCAGATGGTTTCTGTGAATCAGCTTCAGACCTCAGAGACACCATAAATCTGCTGAGTGGTTCTGATGGGTTCAGAACCTCATTTCTGCAGGTCCACAGTCTGCTCACTGATCCGTCTTTATTCTTTCTACAGGTTTTAGAGGCCAGGAGGAGAAAAAGCTTAATATTCATCTTTTTATCTTTTAGGAGAGCCAAAATATTTGGTTCTGATCCGATACAGAGCCAACACGGGTCCAGAACCACCGCCATTGACCCGACTCTTTCAACTTGTTTCAGGTTTTATCATCGAGACCATAAATCTGATCAGAACGTCAGGACAACAGAACATTAGCTAAAGAGGAGCCAAACAGGAGCTAAAAGGAGCTGAACATTAGCTAAAAGAAGAGAATATTAGCTAAAAAAGCTAAAAGAAGCGGAAAATTAGCTAAAGCGGAGCCAAACGGGAGCTAAAAGGAGCAGACGATTAGTTAAAAAGGAGCCAAACAGGAGCTAAAAGTAGCTGAACATTAGCTAACAGAGGAGAGCATTACCTAAAAAATCTTAAAGAAGCAGAACATTAGCTAAAGAGGAGCCAAACGGGAGCTAAAAGGAGCAGAACATTAGCTAAAAGAAGAGAACATTAGCAAAAACAGCTAAAAGAAGCAGAAGATTAGCTAAAAGGGCTAAAAGGAGCAGAACACAAGCTAAAAGGGAGTACAACAAGAGCTAAAAGGAGCATAATATTAGCTTAGAAAGTATTTGATTAGCAAATAGAGGAGCACATTAACTAAAACAGCTAAAAGAAGCCTAACATTAGCTAAAGAGGAGCCAAACAGGAGCTAAAAGGAGCAGAACCTTAGCTAAAAGAAAGAACATTAGCTAAAAAAGCTAAAAGAAGCAGAATATTAGCTAAAAGAAGACAACATCAGCTAACGGAAGAAAACATTAGTTTAAAAAGCTAAAAGAAGCAGATCATTAGATAAGACGAGCCAAACAGGAACTAAAAGGAGTTGAACATTAGCTAAAAGAAGAGAACATTAGCTAAAAAGCTAAAAGAAGCACAACATAAGCTAAAAGAGAAATCAAATAGGAGGTAAAAGGAGCAGCACTTTAGCTAAAGAGGAGCCAAATAAGAGCTAAAAGGAGCAGAACATTAGCTAACAGAGGAGAGCATTAGCTAAAGAGGAGCCAAATAGGAGCTAAAAGGAGCAGCACTTTAGCTAAAGAGGAGCCAAATAGGAGCTAAGATGAGCAGAACGTTAGCTAAAAGGGCCAGAACATTAGCTAAAAGAAGAGAACATTAGCTAAAAAGTTAAAAGAAGCAGAACATTAGCTAAAAGGGAGCTAAATGGAGNTTAGCTAAAAGGGCCAGAACATTAGCTAAAAGAAGAGAACATTAGCTAAAAAGTTAAAAGAAGCAGAACATTAGCTAAAAGGGAGCTAAATGGAGCAGAACATTAGCTAAAGASGAGCCAAACAGGATCTAAAAGGAGCTGAWCRTTAGCCAAAAGAAGAGAACATTAGCTAAAAAAGCTAAAAGAAGCAGAACATTAGCTAAAAGAGAAGCCAAACAGGAGCTAAAAGGAGCAGCACTTTAGCTAAAGAGGAACCAATAAGAGCTAAAAAAGCAGAACATAGCTAACAGAGGAGAGCATTAGCTAAAAAAAGCTAAAAGAAACAGAACATTAGCTAAAGAGGAGACAAACAGGAGCTAAGATGATCAGAACATTAGCTAAAAGAAGAGAACATTAGCTAAAAAAGCTAAAAGAAGCAGATCATTAGCTGAAAAGAGCTAAAATGAGCAGAAAATTAGCTAAAAAAGAACACTAGCTAAAAAACTAAAATAAGCAGAACATTAGTTAACAGATGAGAACATTAGAGCTAAAAGGAGCAGAACATTAGCTAAAAGGAACAGGACATGAGCTAAAAGGAACAGAACACAAGTTAAAAAGAACAGAACATTATCTAAAAGAGCTAAACGGAACAGAACATTAGCTAAAAAGAACAGAACAAGAGCTAAAAGTAGCTAAATGCTAACTAAAAGTGATTTTTAGCTAGAAGCAAATGTTTTTTTTTTTTGTTAATGCTAAGGTTTTTTATTATTATAAATCCAAAAATACAATATGTAGCAAAAATGATATCTAAAAGTAGCTAAAGGCTTGAAAAGCAGATTTAGCTTTGACAGAAATATTCTGTCAGAGATACAAACTAAAATAATGATTTAAATATCGGAACCCCTGGTCCCCTGACCCAAGACTTCCTGTCCTCCTGTGACCCTCCTGGTTTTCAGGTGGGGGGTCAAGGGGGTCAGGACTTCATGACATCACTTTTTTCCTCCGGTTTTGGTCAAAGTTGGAGTCCCAAACAGTGTGAAGACAACAGGACATTCTGTCCCCTTCAAGAGGACAGCTGTGAGACGTGGACGCTGTGTGTTTGTCTCTGAAGTGAGACCTGCAGTTTTTGTTTTAGTTTTTGGGACCGGTTCAGTTCAGACACATTTGGAAACAGGATCAGGAGCCACAAGTCCTTGAACTGAGGTTGGTGGCCTCTCTAGTTCTGCCGTCCTGCAATCTTCCTGGTCAAGCCTGGACCAGGTCTCTGGACCTGGATCTCGGCTTTACGACAATATTTTACAGTGATACTCTTCACTTAAACTGGTTGGAGGTCTAACATAATCTGGAGCTAGATTATCCTGGATTATTCTGTCAGGAACATGCAGAACTTTCAGGTTAGGTTCTACAGAAACAGATAATTTGATCGAATTAACAACATGATGAGTTCAGGAGTTTTTTGTACGATTTGATCTATAAATAATATATTTAAACACAAATATATTTAAATAAATATGTTTAAAACCATGATTTAGTTTCTGATGTAAAAACAAATTTTTCTAAAACGTTCTAAAAATGAAGCTAAACTTTGGTTCAGATTCATTTTTATTTGGGATAAAAGAGCTATTCAGATTAAATGTTATTAGGGATTATAGACATGTTCAGAATAAATGTTTTTTTATGATTGTAGACATGTTCAGAACAAATGCTATTAGGGATTGTTGACATGTTCAGAATAAGTGTTATTAGGGATTATAGACATGTTCTGATTAAATTTTATTTGGGATAAAGGAGATTCAGATTAAATGTTATTAGGGATTATAGACATGTTCAGATTAAATGTTTTTATGATTGTAGACATATTCAGATTAAGTGTTATTAGGGATTATAGACATGTTCAAGTTTAATCTTATTAGAGATTATAGACATGATAATATTAAATGTGATTTGAGATTATAGACATGTTCAGATTAAATGTTATTAGGTATTATAGACATGATCAGATTAAACATTATTTGAGATTATAAACATGTTCGTATTAAATGTGTTTTGATACTATAGACATGTTCAGATTAATAATTATTTGAGGTTATAGACATGTTCAAATTAAATGTTATTTGGGATTCTAAACATGATCAGATTCAATTTTATTTGAGATTATAGACATGATTAGATTAAATGTTATTTGAGATTATAAACAGGTTCACATTAAATGCGATGTGAGATTATAAACATGATCAGATTAAGTGCTGAAATTAAAAACATGTTCAGATTAAACGTTATTTGACATGATCATCTTAAATGTTGTTTGAGGTTATAAACATGTTCAGATTAAATATTATTAGGGATTATAGACATGTTTTCATTACTAGTTATTTCAGATTACAGACATATTCAGATTAAATGTGATTTGAGATTATACACATGTTAGTATTAATAGTTATTTGAGATTATATACATGTTCAGATTTAATGTGATTCAAGATTATAGACATGTTCAGATTAAATGTGATTTGAGATCATAGACGTTCAGATTAATAGTTATTTGAGATTATATACATGTTCAGATTAAATGTGATTCAAGATTTTAGACATGTTCAGATTAAATGTTATTCGAGATTGCAGACATGTTTAGATTTAATGTTTTGTAGGATTATAAACACAATCAGATTAAATGTTATTAGGGATTATAGACATATTCAGATTAAATGCTATTTGAGATTAGAGACATGATCAGATTAATTGTTTTTAGGGATTATAGACATGCTCAGATTAAATGTTATTTGAGATTATAGACATGATCAGATTAAATGTTATTTGAGATTATAGACATGATCAGATTAAATGTTATTTGAGATTATANCAGATTAAATGTTATTTGAGATTATAGACATGATCAGATTAAATGTTATTTGAGATTATAGACATGATCAGATTAAATGTTATTTGAGATTATAGGCATGTTCAGATTAAGTGTTTTGTAGGATTTTAGACAATCATATTAAATGGTATTAGGGTTTATAGACTTTTTCAGCTTAAATGCTATTTGAGATTTAGACATTATCAGATTAATTGTTTTTAGGGATTATAGAAATATTCAGATTAAATGTTTTGTAGGATTTTAGACAATCACATTAAATGTTATTAGGGATTATAGAAATGTTCAGATTAAATATTAGGGATTATAGAAAGGATCTTGTCATTTCTGCACCCCAACCTGAAGAATATCACCTGAAAATATTTCAGAATAATAATCTGTGGTCCCAGGTGTACATGGGGCCCTTTTGTCCCAGTTGTTGAAACCAACTGTCCATGTACACGTGCATGTACACGTGCATGTCCTGCACGTGGGCGATCACAGATCAGCTGCTGGCCACTGCTTCTCAAACCACCATAGGAAGGTCCTGGTTTCAGAAGTTCTGGTGCAGGGCTTCAGGTCCATCCTGACAGAAAAGATGTACCCAGGTCTGCACAGACCTGGAGTACTCTTTTATGAGGTTTGCAATGGAGACGACTAACGTGCTCAGTCAGATCCAACATCCATTGTATAATCAATAAAATCCTTTGTTTGTTTTATTTTTAGTCAATTCAACCATCTGAGTTGGATTGAGGTCATGGACCTCCTCTGGTCCATGTTCAGGACCACAAACAGAACTTTTGGTTTTAAACATAAAAAACATTCAGTTGAATTAACTCTTTTTATTGATTCAGGAATCACAAAATCCATCAAAGCTGACAAGGTGATGAGCTAAAGTTCAGCTGTGGTTTGGAGAAAACCTGTAAACATTCAAGTTTATTTACTTGATCACAGCTGGTAGAGAAGATTCTAAAGTCACCAGATGGGCCAGTTCTGGTGCTGTGGGTTTATTGTTCCTCATGAGACGCTAAAGGTTCTGGAACTGTTGAAACATGGCTGCAAGAGAAGAGCTGCTGGACCACAGCAAGAAGGATCTGATTCACTACGGGAAGGTTCTGGTCCACTACAAGAAGGTTTTGGTCCACAAGAAAGTTATGGTTGACAACAAGAAGATTCTGGTCCACAACAAGAAGGCTCTGGTCCACTACAAAAAGGTTTTGGTCCATTAAAAAAGGTTCTGGTCCACCAATAGAAGGTTCTGGTCAACAACAAGAAGGTTCTGGTCCACTACAAGAAGGCTCTGGCCCACTACAGGAAGATTCTGGTCCACTACAAGAAGGTTTTGGTCGACAACAAGAAGGTTCAGGTCCACCACAAGAAGGTTCTGGTCCACTACAGGAAGATTCTGGTCCACTACAAGAAGGTTTTGGTCGACAACAAGAAGGTTCTGGTCCACTACAAGAAGGCTCTGGYCCACTACAGGAAGATTCTGGTCCACTACAAGAAGGTTTTGGTCAACAACAAGAAGGTTCAGGTCCACCACAAGAAGGTTCTGGTCCAATAGCCAGTCTGATAGCCAGTGCTTCGGGAAGTAGGCCTATTCCTCACCATCAGGAATATCTTCTCTTCCTGTTGTGGTCAAAAATATGTGAAATAAAAATAAAGTTACATATATAT